TTTTCACTTAAAACTATATATAGCTTGGGGCTGGGCGTGGTGGCTCATGCCTGTAATCCCAGAACTTTGGGAGGTCGAGGTGGGAGGATCACTTGAAGCCAGGAGCTCAAGACCAGCCTGGCCAACATAGTGAGACCCTATCTCTACAAAAAATTTTAAAAATAGCTACTCAGAAGGCTAAGGCAGGGGGATCTCTTGAGCCTAGGGGTTTGATTGAGGCTGCAGTGAACTATAAGTTGCCATTGTACTCCAGCCTGGGCAACAGAGTGAGAACCCAAATCTAAAAAAACAAAGCAAAACAAAACTATATACAGCTTGGGAATACCCACATTTTACTACATGAAGACTTTCTTCATTCTTTGTTTACAATTAAATGGTATTCCAGTATATGTATGTATCATTGTTTATTTGCATAATCCCCTATTGGTGTATATTTAGGTGATTTCCAATTTTTTGCTACTACAAGCAATACTTAATAACTTGTAAATATGCCATGTTGCACATGTTTGGCTACATCTGCATAAAAAATTCCTGGAAGTGGAATAAGTTTTCCCATTGTTTATTTTTTGTCTTCTGCCAATTTATTCTCCCTATCCATTAAGAAATTCTTTTTCGGCCTGTAATCCTAGCACTCTGAGAGACTGAGGCAGGAGGATCGCTCAAGGTCAGGAGTTCAAAACCAGCCTGACCAAGAGTGAGACTCCGTCTCTACTAAAAATAGAAGGAAATTAATTGGCCAACTAATATATATAGAAAAATTAGGTGGGCATGGTGGCACATGCCTGTAGTCTCAGCTACTCAGGAGGCTGAGGCAGAAGGATTGCTTGAGCCCAGGAGTTTGAGGTTGCTGTGAGCTGGGCCGATGCCACAGCACTCTAGCCTGGGAAACAGAGTGAGACTCTGCCTCAAAAAAAAATTATTTTTCCCCCTGCACAGTGCTTTACGTGTATTTTTTGAAAAATCCTTCTGGGGCCATGTGGGGATGGATTAGAGGGAGAGGACCTGGATAGACCTACGAGAGAGGTGGTATGGTCTAGGTAAAGTGCGGCTAGTGGAGATTCACTCTTTTTGGGGGTCAAAGAAGGCTTTTTGGAGGGGAAGATTTTGAATTGGGTGTTGAAAAATCAGGAGGTTGCTAAGCAGAAGCAGGATGGGGGGCCAATGTGGCCATGCTGGCCCTTTTTGGGAGTTTAATCTGAAGCAATCTTTTTTTTTTTTTAAGACAGAGTCTCACTTTGTTGCCCAGGCTAGAGTGAGTTGCTGTGGCATCAGCCTAGCTCACAGCAACCTCAAACTCCTGGGCTCAAGTAATCCTGCTGCCTCAGCCTCCCGAGTAGCTGGGACTATAGGCCACCATGCCCGGCTAATTTTTTCTATATATATTAGTTGGCCAATTACTTTCTTTCTATTTATAGTAGAGACAGGGTCTCGTTCTTGCTCAGGCTGGTTTTGAACTCCTGACCTCGAGCAATCTGCCCGCCTTGGCCTCCCAGAGTGCTAGGATTACAGGTGTGAGTCACTGTGCCCAGCTGTGATAATTTTTTGACAGGAAAAAAATTGGATACCTGAGGATGTGCCTTGCAGAATTACCTATGAGAGTAAGCAACAGAAAGAAAATGTGGTGTATATACAATGGAATACTATTCAGCCATAAGAAAGAATGAAATCGGGTCATTTGCAATAACATGGATGGAACTGGAGGTCATTATGTTAAGGGAAATAGGCCAGGCACAGAAAAACAAATATTGTGTGTTCCCACTCATATATATGAGCTAAAAAATTGATCTCATGGAGGTAGAGAGGAGAATGGTGGTTACAGAGGCTGGGAAGGGTAGGGGAGTAGGGGGTATGAAGACAGGTTGGTTAATAGGCACAAAAATATCGTTAGGTAGAAGGAATCAGTTCTAGTTTTCAATCGTATAGTAGGGAAATTATAGTTAACAACAATTGATTATATATTTCAAAATAGCTAGAAGAGAAGATTTGTAATGTTCCCAACACAAAGAAAACATAAATGTTTGAGGTGATGGGTACCCCAGTTACCCTGATTTGATTAGTACACATTGTATGCCTCTATCAAAATATCACCTGTACCCTCCAAATGTATACAATTATTATCTATCAATTTAAAAAGAGTAACAAACAGGAAGTCATTTGGTAAAGGTTAAGTAAGCATGATATATAAACTCGATGGAAAAGGAAAATATAATAATAATAACTATAATAATAATAGCTATCATTTATTAAGAGCTACTGTGTGTCAAGCACTAGGTTAAATAGTACACATGTATTTTCAAAAACCATTTAATCCATATACCAACTCTCTGCCTAAGGCACTATAATTTCCAGTTTGCAAATGAGAAAACTGAGGACCAAAAATGATAAGTGAACTTCCCAAAGATGACATCATAGGAATTTCCAGAGCCAGGATTCCAAAGAGGTGTGTGACCCCAAACGCTACACTCTCGCTCACTAGACCAGGCCCTTCCATTAGCTCACTGAACTCCTGAGACCTCTGGGGGAGGTGTCCTTGGAGAAGAAGAGATTACAGGTGAGAAAACCGAGGCTCAGGAGGTTAAATCAGCAGTCCCCACCTTTTTGGCACTGGGGACTGGTTTCACGGAGGACACTTTTTCCACTGACGGGAGGTGGGTTTGTGGGGGGTGAGATGGGGCTAGGGGGGAAGGCGGAGCTCAGGTAGTGAGGCAAGCAATGGGGAGCAGCTGTAAATACAGATGAAGCTTCCCTGGCTTGCAGCCTGCCACTCACCTCCTGCTGTGCAGTCCAGTTCCCAACAGGCCATAGACTGGTACCAGTCCACAGCCCGGGGGTTGGGGACCTCAGGGTTAAATGACTTGTTCAGAGAAAATATAAAGAGATAGTGCAACATAGAAAAACGTTTGCTTACTAGTGTAATGAGGAGAAAAAAGCTGGGTGTATAATTGTTTAAATGTGATGATCACAGCTATGTAAAAATAGAAATATCTGTGGGTGTGCTGACTACTGATCCAGAATATTCTAGGCTAGTCCCCGGTTTAAAGTTTCTGACTGTTGTCAGTCCTAAATCAGGCTATGCTCTGATTTTAGGAAACTTGGGGAAATATGGCTACTTCACTTAAATCCAAAGACTATACTGAAGACATTTAAGCAGTTACTGCATTTTTAAAAATATGAAACTTGGAAAAACTAAGGGGTGATATCTGATACAAATCTAGAAGGTTAAGGACGCAGACATTTGGAGAAGGTATCTTAGCCTTACTAATTAATGTAAATTGATATCCATGTGTTGCCTATTCATTAAAAGGCTACTCCGTCATTGGATTTCTGTGGTGATTGTTTTTTAAAGGTTAGCCTTGGCCAATTCTAAGTTTTTTTCCCCACCAGTCCAAGTTAGCAGAATCAAGAGAGGAGCCTTATAGTTATTTCAAACAGTGAAAGTTACAGATATTGATTGGCTGCTTCAGAAAGGTTATTTGGGTTTCCTTCACTTGATCATCGTTCATCCTGCCTTCGTGTTAGTCCTTCTCTCTATTCATTGTATTCCTCCATCCGTCCTCCCATGCATTCAACATTTGCTAGTCTTCTGCTGTGTACCAGGTCCCGCGCTGGGTACCAGGGGCGTGACAGCGAGGAAGACTTGGTCCCTGCCCGCGAGAGGCTCACTGGTAGAGCTGGAAACATACACGATGATTAAGACACAGCGTGCTAAGTGCCACTGCAGTTCATTCTGTAGGTTTGGTGCGAAGGTCTGCTCTGTCCAGGGTACTGTGCTGGCACTGTCACAGGCCATAGAGAATGAGATCTCCGGCCCTGCCCTCGAGGAGTTCACAGGCTATGGGAGAGGCAGTAAACAAGCCAGTAATTAAACCATCACAAATAACCGTGACTTGTAAGGGAATTAGGGGGAGTTTTGGGACTAAGAACAACAGGCCAGGGAGCCCATTTCAGCAGAATGGCCCAGAAAGTGCCATGACAGAGGCATGTGCAGGGGACTGCGGGACTGTGCCGCTAATAAGATACACGCTGGAGGGTCAGGGAAGGTCCCTCAAACTGAATCTGAAAAGTTAGGGAAGAGTTCAATGGGGAAAATATCAAGATGGGCAGCCCCAAGAAAGAGACCTGGGGTACAAAGGCTTGAAGGTGTTGGGTGACAGAAAACATGGCCAGCAGGTGATTCAGTGGCATAGGGGTACAGGGTTCAGGTGGGGAGGGGACAGGATGAGGCTGGAGGGACAAAGCAAGGCCAGATGGTGTGTGGCGGCCAATGCCAGGGGAAAGCGGCTTGCAGTTTGACTGGATAGTGATAAAATGCAGAGGTTACTAACCCATGGCCCTCAGCCCTGCAGGCCCCCAGAGCCTTCCATGGGCCTGATAAAGCCAGACTGCTTCAGTCGTATTTTATGCCATGATCAGGTTGTGTATTTTAAAAGAGATGTCCCAGGTTGCCACTGAAGATTTAACTGCTTTTCGTTTTCAGCTCTAGAGAAAAACAGGCTTGGAAGTCCTCTTGGGGTACTTTACCTTCTTCCACCGCCTAAAGGCTGCTCCCTCATCCCTAAAGGGGGGCACACAGGGAATCTGGAGACAAGAAAGAGGGTGGTCAGAGTCCCCAGGGGGCAGATATACAAGCAAATTTTGATGCAGGGTTCATAGCTGGCTGGGACCTTGGAGAAGTGCTGGGTAAGAAACAGCCTGGGTCTGGGCTAAGCAGAGAGGGAGCTGGACGGCAAGGTAAAGGTAGGACAGGGAGTGGAACTCGGGTGTCCTGATTTCCTGGGCAAGCTCCTAGGTCTCCAGCAAATTGCTGCTACTGCTGGAGGCAGAGGAGAGAAAGATGAGAAAAACAGGAAAAAGAAACAGAGAAGCGTGAACGAGTAGGGAGGAGGGAAAGGAGGAGGAATGGAGAGGAGGGACGAGGAAAGTGGAGGAGGGAGATCGACTTTTGACTAAAACCTTAATCCGATCATTGGCTGTGGGTTTCTGTTTTTTTCTTTTTTTAGTTTCTCCAAGTTCCAAAGAAGGTAATACACTGCTGGCCTGATTGTGTTTCAGCTCCAAGACACAGCACAACGTTTGAAAAGCCCATTGTTCCGTGTTGTGATAATATAACTCTCTGTAAATGGTGCAGTCCAGTGTACAGAGTACCGCCCCGCCCAGCCCACTGGTGACCTGTGGGGACAGCTGAATGCCTTCTGGTCGCTGAGCCCACAAGAGCGGGGCTGGGCTTTCAGAAACAGCTGGGCTGATTCATGCAGAACAAAAGCCAGCTCTTCCTGCTAAATCCCTGGCAGGCACGGCTGTGAGGCTGCTGGGCCCCTGTGCCTCTCCGAGGGAAACATCTTGACTCAGCTCCAAATGTCTAGATGTCAGTCTCCTGCCTGAGCGCCTTGGGCAGCTTCCCACCGTCCAGTCCCTTTGGCCTGGCATGCTCCCGGCCCCCACGCGGGAGGCGGTGGCTTTGGAGGGAAATCTGGGTTCTAGTCCCATGTAGGCCGTTTCCCAGCTATGCAACGTAAACAAGTGACTTCTTGCTCAGCCTCAGTTGCTCCATCTGCAAGCTGGGAGCGAGAGTAGCTCCAATCTGAGAAATCTGTCGTCGGGTCTGAAGGACAAACTTCAAGGCTGTCAGGCACTCGTGGATACTGCTGTCCTGTTTTGTGTAAACCTGATGCATCTTGCTGTCTGGCTTGGTCTTGCACAGTTCCCTTCGTCCACGTACCCTGCACCCCAGACTCGCCGGCACAAGCTCGCTCACCTTAAACACCTCCGTGCCTTTCCCTAGTGGGTTCCCATACGGACACCAGCCACTGTTGACAGAGCCCGTTCTATGTCCCAGGCCTTAACATGGATAATTTCACTTCATTTCCCTGCAACTCTTTGAGTGGACACGATTGTCAGGTGAAGAAACCAAGGCACAGATGGGTTGAGTGACTGGGACGGAGGGAGGTCCTGTCCTCCAAGGCCAATAAGCACAAAAATAGCACTACCTCAAAGACTTTTTGGTGAGTATGTGCTTAAGGGATGTTATGAATTGCTTTTTATTTCTAAAGCATAACAGTTTACAATCTTTCTTAAAATAGTTCTATATTTCTTAAACAGCTCCAAATACCCTCCGTCCAAAGAAACAGTGAGTTGTAATTAAGCATTATATGAAATGTATAGAGAAGCATCTAACATCAGACCCCCAAGTTGTCAAGATGCAATGAAATAATTCCTGGTCCCGAATAGGAGGTGTGGAGAAGCCCTTACCTATCCTTTAGCTTTCTTTCACTTCGGCTGCAGAAAGAATCAGGGCTCTGGGGGCAGACCTGGATTCAGATCTTAGTTCTATCACACCCAGATGTGGAAGCTTAAGCAGGTTACATCTCTTCTCTAATCCTGTTTCCTTATTTGTAAAATTGAAGACAAGAAGACCTAACTTAGAGGGGAGTGCTAAGGCTTAATTGAAATAAAAAGCGGCATATATTAATAGTAAGCACTCGGAATGCAGAAGTTATAATTATACTCTTAGTTGTTATGAATGCCACTGTCATAATGCCAGCTGCCTGTAGCTCCAGGGACAGTGACAGGCTTGGCAGCAGGAGGGAGAGTCTCTGGGCACTTTTGCTCTTTCCTTGAAAATTTAACTTGGGAGGTGGGCGGGCTGGGTGACAGAATCAGTGACCCTTGCTGACGCTCATGCTGTTGGGCGTCTTACTGGCATTTATGGGGCATGATTATAGACTCACGCCTGCTAGCACTCCAACTGTGTGTTGGTCCATAGGCTGGGCGTCTTAGGACTGAGCTGACAGTGGTTGTGCGGAACTCACAGTTTTAATCTCTCATTAAAATAATGGGGCAAACACCTTCCTGCCCAGAGCGTTCAGGAAATGTCTGGATTGGCAGCTCTTGGAATTCAAAGTACAACCGTCTCCAGTCTTCCTGACGTGTCCCAAATCACTCTGCCTGACCAAACTCATCTCTGGTCACTTTCCTCATTCACCAATTAATTAATCCAATAAAAATTTGCTAAACATCTGCTCTGTGCCAAGCACTATTTGACACTGGGGTTATATAAGAAAACCAAGCAAACGCACTTACTCCTTCCACTGAGCTCCCAGTCTAATGAGAGACACACATAAACAGACAATCCAAATACAGAGTTGAACAAGGGGGAGCGGGGAATATTCGGGGTACTGGGCAGTGGTGTGCTGGTAAATGTTAAACAACAGGCTCTGGGGGAAGGGGAGAGGGAAGCCCTGATTTATAGCCTTTGCCAATTTCCACGGTGTAAATATTCCCCCTGTGGCTGGTTTCAGGCTACCAGCATGGTGTCACTGAATGTGGAGTTGAGAAGAGATGTGCAATAAATAGCACACAGTTATATAGTATTCCTACCATATGGACAAATAGCTAAAATATCCTTAAGAGCATACGTAATAGTGAAGTATAGTAAAATAATCAGGAAGTAATAAGCTTTGAGAATTTATTAGCTTTATTTATAACGTATTTCATTATAAGTTTATATGAATTGTTATTGAAGGCTGTGCTTAACAGCTGGCTATAAGAATTCATGGAAATTTAACAACCAGCTCCTGTGAGCTAGTTTGGGCAAATAGCAGCCTGGAGCAAATGACAGACTCGTTCGTTTCTTCCAGTTCCGTCTTCCGCCAGCCTCCACACCTTCGCTTATTCTGTGCCCTTCGCAGAAGCTGCCGTTCCCTGCCTCACCTCCATTCCTGTTCTTCCCGTACTTTCAAGGTCGACTGAGTCCTTCTGCCTCGTGGAGTTGTCTCTCTGCCACGCGTCCCCTGCCCTTTGCCATGGGAACTGCGCCCTCCATAACCAGGTTACGGTGGGAGCCACGTGTTTGTGCGGTGACCCTGCCGCTCTGGCTACAGTTAACTGGATCAAGGGTAGGAATCTGCCCCAAGTGAGGGTGTGGACCACAAACCAAGATTCCAGCTTGCTGTTGGTAAATGCCATCTTCTAGAAAGGAGAAGGAGAAATGCTTGTGCGACTGAGGCAGAGGAACGAAGCAGATGGGCAGGGATGGAAGATGGAGAGAGAGCACTTTCTGGGTCCCCTTTGGTACTCAGGCTGTGCTTGGGGCTCGACACTGAGGCCCCATGGGGCATTCCAGGGTCTCCCGAGAGCACTCCCTCAAGTCATCCCTGGCACGGAATCCCCATCTTGTCCTCTGCTTCTGGGAACTTACTATAAGGCATTCAATGCTCAATAAATACTTGTCCTAATAACTTATTTTTCGGAAGCTAGCTCCACAAAAGGTCTGCAGCCAAAAAGCCCCACCGATCCTGAGGTCTTCCCTACCTGGCTGGCCCAGCCTTCTCCTCTGGGAGCTTCTCCATGCCCATCTGGTCATTTAACAAGTCTCATGGCCTTCTCTGTGGACATGACAGAAGATGGCCACCACAAAATGGCGGCCTTGGGGATTATCAGTCCTCACAGGCCCAGTTAATTAACCACAACTGTCATGTCCCACGCTCCAACTCCAAACCCTGAGAGCCCAGCTTGGTCCTGGTGTCAACTGCTAATGCTGCCGACTGCGTTGTGAAGGAGGACTCTGGCACAAGCATGGTGCCAAGTGAGGGCCAACCTGTGGGTGGGAAGAGGCGTCCTGAGAGGGGGGAGTGGGCACCCCCAGACTGTCTACTGCACGGCCTGTGTGTGGCCTTCGTTTCTCCTCATCCTCACTCCATGTTCTCCCATGGGAGGGGATCTACGTTAGCGAGACATGCACACTGAGACGAGGAGCCAGGGAAGATTGGTCTTCCTGTTGCCTAGATGCACTGGGAAGAGAAGTACAAAAAAGAGTCTGGAAAGGAACGAGGACAGGACACTAAGGCAAAGGGAACTTCTAGGCACCCACGCAAGGCAGACCTGACCCTGAAAGGGCAGGCCAAGACAGATCCTGACCAGCTGCAGAACACACATGTTGATGCATGAAGCAAAGCACTAGGAACTTGCCTGGCCCTCTGATAAAGTACTGGTCATCTTCACTATTATTTTTACCATTTCTGGTGATAGCTGTGCCTATGTGACTTTGCAGCCACCAGATGGAACAATCACAGGATCATGGGTGCAAGCCCCTTTACTCTCTTGGCCTCAGTTTCCCCATCTCTAAATTAAAGGGTTGGAGCAGATGTTCTCCAGTGTTTTCTCTGGTTCTGTGGAGACACAGATTCAGAGGTCCACCTCCCTTTGTCTGAGAGAAGTTGCTGGCGTTGGAAATGACATGTTAGATAATTCCAGGGCCTGTGTAGGCTGAGGCTTGTAATCAAAGAGCTTGGAGCCAAACAGCCTGTGTTTCTGCCTTGTTCCCCACCGCCCTACAGCGGGCCACGGACAGCCTCTGGAAAAAGCAGAGAGTGGCGGAGAGAAGGTGCGAGCCTCCCTGGGGGCAGGGGTGGAGGGGTGAACACCTTGCTTCAGTTCTCTGAGAAAGTGGAACTGGACAGAGTTTCCCAAGCCAGGAAGGGCGGCAGAGTGTGACTCAGGACATTGAGCAAAGGAGCGGAGGCCGAGGACTCAGGCATAGAGGACCAGGCTGTACGGTATCACCTGTGTGACCTCCAGAGACCTACTTAACCCTTTCTGTGGCTTGGCCATCTCATCTGAAAAATGCACGTGGTGATACCTACCTTGGGAGGTGGGCTAGGGAGGTGAGAGTGGTCTTCCCAACACGTGGGAAGACCAGAACATGGTATGTGACATTCAAGAAATGGTTCCTGCGATCACTGGTGCTGTACAGAGACCGAGAGGGGCAGGAGGAAGAGCCAGGCTGCGATTCCCTAGGCCCTGTGGCTTCCCTGGCTGCTGCTCAATGGGAAAACCAGGAAGCGAGTGCCATGCTCTTGGCTTCTCTGCTGCTTAAACAGTGCCAGCTGTTCCTGCTCTCACCCCCAGCACCCAGCAGTTATTGACTCTGGCCTACTTTACCTAGTTTGGGAGGGGGCTTTACCCTGGCAGGACGCTGGCCAGCCTCCAGCACCTAGGCTGGACATGGGCATCCTTGTTGTCTACCTGGTCCAGGCTCCTGTTGAGTGTATGAATCCTCCCAAACTGGAGTCAGAGCAGCTGCCAGAGGCCTGGGAACCCACGTTTGCACCAGGACTGTTGGGAGGCTGACCCATGCCTCGTTCCATTATAAATGGCTCTCTCTCAAATGCATCTGTTGAGATAAATAAAATACGACACTTGTTTAAAAGTGACCTTGCACTCATCTTTCTGACCAGTGTGGATTTTCTCAATCTTCTAAAATAACATCTGCCACCACACTGGTAAGAACATCCGCGGACCCAGAGCCCACAGTCCTTGCCATTGCGTGGAGTCTTTCTCTCACTGTCTTCCCAGCCGGCCGCGAAGAGGCAGTTCATGATGCCCATTTTACAAATGAGGAAACTGAGACAGATATGTTAAGTCACTTGACCGAAGTTATGGGAGGAACAAGTGTCAGGGAATCCAACCAGGGCCTTCTGACTCCGAAGCCCCACTTAAGGACAGGGATGGACTTTGGCGCTTCTTGTTTCTCCCGAATGAAGTTGGGAATCGTTCTTCCCTTTGTTCCCTCCAGAGGCTGCTTGCCATCTCGCCCGCTTTGCGGGCTTTGCCTCCTGAAGCCCTTCCTCGCCTGGTCCTAGTGGAGCATTGCACGCTGCCCGCGTCACCTGCGCTCTTTGGCCGCAGCGCAGCCCGGGAGCTCCCCTGGGTCTGCTCCCCCGGTTCTAAGCCCCTTCGGATCTCCCCTTCGAGCAGCGGACCTCAGTTTCCTCCTGGGTACAGCAGGGAGCTTGATGCCTTCCCGCCAGGAGAAGGCGAGGGGCGGCACGGCAGGGACACCGGCGGGAGCGGACCCCATCCCCGCGGTGCCCAGGGGAGGGCCGGCGCTCCGCCCCCACCCCGCCCGGCCGCCCCGCTCCGCCCCGAGGGCGGCTCCCGCCCGCGCCCTGCCCTCCCGGCCGCTCGCCCCGCTGCGCCCCCGCCCCGCCCCGCCGCCCGGAACCAGCTGAGCACAGCTGGACCCAGCAGCCGCCGTCGCCAGCGCCACTGCAGCAGGTAGGGGAGGGGGCGGCCCCGGGAATCTGGGGATCCGGGGCTGATCTGAGTCCTTCCTCGCCCTCCCTTCGCGTCCGAGCTCGCCCGCGCCTGGAGCCCGGCCCGGCCTCGCCTCGGGGCATCGCTGGAGAAGGGCTTCCGCGCTCGCCTCGCCCTTCTTCCCGGGGACCCAGGAGTGTGCATCGGGCTGGGGCACGCAGGAGGGGGCCGGGCCTGCACCCACCAGCCCCGCTGTGCCGCAGCCACCGACCTAATAACCCTGACCCCGCCCCCGGGGTGGGGGGACTGGGCCCGGGGTCACCGTCACACTCGAGGTGTCTGACCCGGGCATGCTGGTGGCGGTCTGGGTGGCTGCTCCCCCGGGGAGTCCTCCTGGATCCTTCACTCCTGAGCAATACCTTTGGCCGCTCTCCCTCCAACTCCTTCCTCCTTCTGAGCCCGGGGCTGTTAGAAAGTTCTTCCTTGTGCTCCTCTGAAATCTGCCTGTTCGCTACCTGTAAGTGCCCCGGTGTGTGTTCCCTTCCCTGACTCACGCGGAACTTCTCTCAGAGTTGAAGACAGAGATTGGAACCCTCTTCCCCCTGGGTCCCCATCTCTTGTAGGGTCCATACCCCCAGAACCTGGTCACAGCCCGATCGATCGCAGGCTGGTGGCTCTGGGCGGTGCCAGGGGGAAGCCCCGGCCTTCCTTGGAAGTCTGGGGCCTGGGGTGTGGGTGGGCAGGAGACGCGGGCTCCGTCTGCCCAGACATCGGCTCCCTATTCGTCCTCGTGCCCTCCGTCAGAGCAGAGAAGGGATCTTTAAACACCCAGAACTCATTCCAGGCTGTCCTGCGGGTAAGGCTGGCTCTGTGGAAGGTGGGGCCTCTGGGGAGGTCCCCTGTCGCTTTTGTTTGGCCTGCGGGGCCTTTTAAAAGACTTCATCCTGCAAGTCCTGTTCTCCCAGGACCACATTTCCGACCAGGGCACCAGGACCTCTCACCGCTGTGCACTTTGTCGAGACCACGGTTTGCTGGAGTCTCACCCCGTCCCCATTCCACAAGGGCCCACCGTCACACAGTGAGCGGGACAGGGCTGGGACACGATTCCAGTCTGCCCTTTGCTGCCTACTTCTCCCTGGTGGGACTTAAAGGCCTGAGGACCCTACCCCACCACACCCACGTCCACACTTGGGGGTGTCGGTTGGTGTTTCTCAGGGATATTAAGAGGAAGATGCTGGGAACAAAGGAGGAAGGATGGGAGGGGAACTGTTGGCTTTCAGCTCCTTTGAAACTCCGTTTTTTTCTTCCTGGGGCCTGGCTATTTATAAATGCCAGGAAAATTGTAAATAGCCTTGGGAGCTTGGGTTGGCACCCAGTGAATTACACAGCAGCAAAGACGGTTTCTGTGTGAATCAGGGAAGGGAACTTTCCTCCAGAATTTTCCATAGTCTTTTTATTAGGGACTCACATGAGCTTGGAAGCAGGCTGCTCCCAGGAGTGGCTGCGGGGTTTGCCACTTGTAGCATTTTCTTCCTTCCTTCCTCCCTTGATTCCGCACTCGTCTGGGCCTATGTTCTGTGCCCTGTGAGGGGCACAAAAGCCCCTGAGGAGGACAGAGCTCTCTGTCCTCAAGATAATTCCAATCTGTAGTGGAGTTACGTCAGCCGGCAAGAGGAGTGACTAATTCTGTCTGGGTGAGCCAGGCCTCAGAAATGAGTAGTAGTTTACCAGGAGGAACAGGGATTAGGGAAGAGACATTCTAAGAAGCAGGAATAGCTTGTGCAAAGGCACTGAGGTTTTCTGAGCAATCCATGTGGCTAGAGTGGAGGATGGGGGAAGGGTGGCGTGGTGGGAGTTGAGATTGTAAATGAAGACGGAACTAGATTGTAGGCTAAGAGTTTGGACCTCATCCTGAAGGCAATGAGGAGCTGAGAAAGGCTTTTGACCAGAGCAATGATAAAAAAACCTCTCTTGAATCTGGTGGCTGGTGGAGCGGGTGCATCGGAAGGGGCTGACGTGGAGGAGGCTCCCTAGGAGGCTACTGCCCGGTTCACGTGAAATACAGCGCGGGTCTGAACCAGAGCCGTGGCCACTGGGATGGATCACAGTGGCAGATTCTGGAAGCCTGTCTGAAGGTCTCAGAACCTGCTATACATTTCATCTGAAATCAGACAACAGGCTTATACGCTGCTGGATATGGCCACTACATCATTGTAGCTACTGGACAAGACTAAGTTTTTCAGAGTGATTTTGTTTCTTTTTTATTATTTTTAAAACAAACAAAATATTTTTAAGGATTCAAACACAGAGAAGAGGCACCTTCAACTCTTTAAACAAGGGGTCCTCAAACTTTTTTAACAGGGGGGCAGTTCCCTGTCTCTCAGACCGTGGGAGAGCGCGGCGCACATTCCACACATGCGCACTGTGGGCCCGGGACCAGTCGGCTGCTAAGCAGGACAGGCAGCGGCCCCCAAACGCCTGCTTTAAACCCTCCTGTTTAAAGCTACCCAGAGGTAGCCACTGGTAACAGCGGTGTTTGTACTTCTGCCGAGCTGTCGCAAGCAAGATGTTGTCTGGACAACTTCACTCTTCTTAGCCATCCGGTGCCAGTAGGTGACTTCTCCCTACTCCATGTGAATAGTTTGGGTCTTTTGTGAGATGTGTCAGGATCATAGAGATGGTTTCTGCTTGGTCTATAGTACTTTGCTGAGGCTTGGGTTTTCTTCAAGAAAACTTTTACAGCCTATGTCTACAGCCTGTAAGGGTGTATGCTTGCTTATTAGGGGTCTCAGGCATGAGACAAGTTGGAAGCGCTGACTTGGGAGTAGAACTGCAGTTTTGGTTCTTCGACCTTGGGCAAGTACTGTCTCTCTGGGCCTCAGTTTCCTCATCTGTAAAATGGTCTGCATGGTAATAATAAAAAGCTGCCTTTTAATATACCAAACACAGCAACATCAAATTCTTCATGGACTACGCACAACTATCCTATTTTACAGGTGAAGAAACTAAGGCTTAGAGGCTAAATAACGTGCCTTGGGATGTGTGACTATTAGGTGACCGTGCCAGGATTCCGGAGGTCTGACCGCAGAGCTGTAGCCCTTAATTACTGGACTAAACATTCTCCTGAAGGTTCTGTGTAGTCCTGAATTATGAGAGCTGGTGGGGGAGTTTTGCTGTGGCTGTCACGAGGGATGGGGGTCAGTGTGCACAGTGTGGGGAGCTCAGCCCTGCAGCGGAGAGGCCTGGAGGGGCCTCCCAGGGCTGTTTGTAAACTCATACTTTCCTGTACCATCCACAGGATCCTTGAGTGTAGGTGAGTCTCCTCTCCATTTCAGGGAACCAAGGCTCTAAGGCGACACAGGACTTGCCCAGCAAGGTCATTTGGTCAGTTGGGAGCCCAGCCAGGACTGGTCCTTCCTCTTCACCAGTTGAGCCCATGCTCTGGAAATCTATCTGGGTAAGCCAGGAAAAGAGGGTAACCCACCCCCTGTCCCATGGTTATTCCCTGAAAAATGCTAGCAGAAGCAGGCAAAAGAAGGTTCCAGGGGTTATGCATTTTGTGGGGGGGAGGGAAAAGTAGAGACCAGTGTTTAGGCTGCAGGGGGATGTTAAGTAAAAATACCTCCTGGCTTTCAATTGAGCGAGCCTGTGTCATATTTCAGCCTGATGTGGTCTGTGAGGTTGGAGACCACAGGCAGGCTCAGTTCCTGCTGCCCGCCAGCTCCCCCGCCCTCCCTCCCCTGCCATATGCCGGCTCTTCCCTGCCCTGCCTGCGACCACATCAGCAATTTAAGGGTTGGGCAGGGAAAAGCAGGGGCGTGGTGGGCAAGGCTGGGCAGCTGAAGGCCCGGGCTTGGGTCCTGGCTTTGCCACTGACAAAGTGACTTGGACTAATGCATGCCTTTCTCTGGGCCCCACTGTCGGTTCTGCACTTGGGGTGGACGGCATAATGTCAGGCTCTCCCAGCTCTGACTGTCGGAGGGCTTTGGGCTCAGCGCATGAACGCGTGAACACAGGACCTGCGTATCTGTGACACAAAATGAGCCCACAGCAGTGCAGCTGGTGACTCAGCTACTGCTCTTGAATTTGCTCTTGTCAGACTGAATTGGTTGCCCCATTTTGCAGATAAGGAAGTTGAGGCCTAGGATGCATGTATGTATCCTAGTCCCTGTTCTATGAGCGATAATAATAGTGGCTACTGCATGTGGCGTGTTCACTGTGCGTGTTCACCTTTTGTTTTCACTGTCTTGTTTAATCTTTAACAGCCCAGTGAGGGAGGAGATATTGACTCTGTTTTACAGATAAGGAAACTGAGGCTCAGCCTAGAGAAATGAAACAACTTATACTTCCTCTTCTTTGGGTCTCAGAGTAGCCCTGGGGTTGTCATTATGTGACCCATTTTACAGACAAGCACAGCGAGGCCTGGAGACATGAGCTCCCTTGCCCAGGAGTCCCCAGGGGCCACATGGCCAGTTAGGTTTCTTTCTAGGCCCTCCTGCTCCTCCCTGGTGCCTGGCTTGTTCTGCTTCCAGGAGCCTCTGCACCGCTTGCATTCAATGCTTGGATGAAGGGATGAGGACAGTTTTCTTCCTGGACTATAAAATATCCCTGAAACCCATTCTTCCCAAGGGGGATCCAAAAAGGGTTTGAGCCACAGAGCTTCACAGGGAA